ATTTATTCACCCAAACTTAGTTGGTGTATCAATGTTATACCCAACACACAGTAATCCAAGAAGAATGACGATCAGCAAGAGTCAATCGAGAAAAAATGCCGGAACCAAGAACATCGACCATCAGAACATCAGAACAACTAGCAACTAACAATAACAGAACTAACAACCCAGCTCCATCTTATGGCCATTTGAGGAACCACACCCAATTACAATTTTAGTATTCCCTTAAAGAGACAGTATTAAATGTCTATCATGGTTTATATATTTCCAACCCAACTGTTAGGTGACTATCAATTCCTAACATGCCCCACCCGGGAGAAGCCTGGATGCAGCAACTCCTGCTTCCTCCTCCAGGAGGCAAACCAAACCAACACACCCTGCTCTGCTTTGGGTTGGCTGGCATAGACCAGGGGCTCTTTGGGCAGAAGCAGAGAGAAAGGGGTGGGGAGGCTACCTAGGCAGCCCAGGCGGAGCCCTTGACTCAAAGGGGACTCAAAGCAAGCCACCCAGCCCAGGAAAGGCAACTGAGCATCCTTTGTGGTGGAATGACCCTCTGGCCAGAGCCTGGCTTGTGCCCCCCCCCACTTGCTGGTCAGTGAAAAGCCCCGCCAGGGCAGAGCCAGCCAGGCAGCTCCGGACTTCCCTTCAACGAATCAGGATCTGACCTGTGCTGCTCGGGAGGATGGATGACGTCCAGCTCGGGGCCTTCCTGATTCCAGCCCCGCCACCCCCCCAATTTCCAACTCCCGTATCCCAATGAGGGAGGGCAAGAGCCACTCCTTTGCCTCTGCCAAGAGCCGAATGCTGAGCACATCCCTCTGCTAGAGAAAGGCCATTTCAGCCCAGCTGCTTACGGCTCTTCTGGCAGGCTTGGGTGCCCTCTTAGAGTGAGGAAAAGCCCCTCAATGCTGCCAGCCAGCCGCCCCCTCCAGCTAGACCCCTCCCCTGTTGTAATGATGAGGCAGTTGAGGTGTTTGATCATGATCAAATGAATCATGATGACTTTATTGGAGTCTAGTCTTGTATTTATACACATTTTTAGTAATCCTCTAACACTGGTTAACTTTGGTTATTGCTTAACTTTTGTTACTGTTTAGCATAGTAATTAACACAACTAATTATCTCTAGTTAAAGTCTAACATATGTTTATTTCCTCTCTCTAATCCTCCTTTACATTAGTGACTTTGTTTGCCTGAGTTGTAATTACTTGTAAACATTTACAACTCTACACTCCCCTGTGGTCGCCAGTGGCCGGGGGCAGCAGCTCTGCTATGTATATGTAAATAACATAATTGGATTGACAATATATAAACTACAAATATATATGTTTGTAGCTTTAAGGAAAAAGACTGTAATGTATTATGCTGTGTTCTGGTTAATTATGCTACAAGTTGCCATAAGAGGGAGCTATAGATCATGGTTTAATTCTCTTTCTTTTTTTCACTGATGATCTCTCTTGATACCGATACTGACTAACCCTGTTTATTTTGATATTCTGTTGATATCGAAGGTTATTTGTTGTATTATGGTTTGATATTTGTCTGCTGTAAAAGACATGGAACCGGTAAGAAGACTTTATAACTAGATATAAGAAGACTTTATAACTGGATATTTCTGGACTGTTAAAAATGTGTATGACATGGACTGTTTATTGGACTGTACTATTTCTTCAAGTAAACATTAATACAACTTGTTCAACTCTGTGTGGCTGTATATTTCTTCATAACTGTTCTCATAAACTGTTTTCTGTGTACATATCCTTTTTATACAAGGGTTACTCTGCACATATCCTAACAAGCTCCTCAACTGGATGTGCTGGAGCCTCACTGGAGCTGCACAAAAGCAGTGGAGCCGGAAGGGGGATACGGCCCCAGGGGAGTGCAGGACCCCCACACACACACCCGTGGGCATTGCGGAGCAGTCCCAGCAGTTGGGGCTGCTTTCTAAAGGGGACGTTGGTCTCTCCCCTCCACCCAACATCCCTGCAGGGCTGGCAAGGAGAGCATGGGATCCCCACCTCTCTCCGGGCACAGAAGGGGATCTTGCCAGCCCCCTCCGTGGGGAGCAGAATCCCGGCCTCAGCCTGACATCCCCACTGAGCCCAGCGCCCACCCCCTCCCCCCGTGGCTCAGAAGATACGGCCACAAAGAGCCCTGCAGCGGAGCACTCTCTCTTTATTTTGCCTCCCATGCGCAGCAGGAAGTGGGGGGGGGGCGCCTCAAGCCTTCTTGTCGTCCTTCTGCAGGAACCGCCGGGGGCCTGCGGGGGGAAGAGGCAGAGCCCTTGAGCCGGAGGAGGAGAAGGAGGAGGTGGGCGGGGCCTGACAGGCCTGGCCCTGCAGAGCCCAGGTGGAAGGGTCCTCAGAGCGCCCCGTCAGCACGGCCCCACGCAGCTCGGGCAGCTCGGCAAAGGGCAGGTAAGCTTCTCCTGGGGAAAGAGAGGCCACAGGTGTTGGAGGGCCCCCCAGGGAAAGGCCTGCGTGGGGCCAAGGCTGAGGAAATGGGGCAGCCCCCGATCTGGCTCCAGTGTTCAGATGTTGGGCAGGTCCTTGCCAAGGCCAGAGGGACAGACACCCCCTCCCCAGCTGGAGGACTTGGAGGAAGCCCTGCGGGGAAGGGGCACAACTCCCCCCCTGCATACCGTAAGGCCGGCCACCTCTGCGCCGCGTCTCCTCTGACTCAAAGAAGGTTTCATGCTCCTCCCAGCGTCGGTCGCAGGCCGCACACAGGAAGCTGGAGGTGAAGGCCATGCAGGAGCAGCCTGGTGGGCAGGCAGGAGTGGCACAGGTCAGGGCCAGAACGGCCGGGCACGGGGGAGGGAAAGGAAGCTGGCACCTGAAGGAGCCTAGGCAGAGCCCTTCGGTGGGGGGTGCGGGGGGAGGACTTCCCAACCTGCTGCAAAAGTGCCGAGTTGTTGTGAGGGCCAGCTGAGTTGCAAGTGGGAAAGATCGCCAGAGACGGGCCAGGACCAGGGTTACTTTGCGCCTGGCAAGCTTCTCCTAATGTAGCCTCACAGGAAAGACGCCCTGGTAGTCCAGCTCCTGGGCTGGGGTGCCTTGTGCAAGATTGAGGGCCTTTCCCCCTTCCTCCCTTCCTTCCACTCTCTGCCCCCTAGCTAGAAGGTGTCCCCCAAGCAGGATGCCAACACCTGCCGGAAGGTCCTGAGCTGGCACTGATGGTCCTGGGGGACGATGCCTGGACCAGAGCAGCCTCAACCTCAGGTGGCTGGGGGAGGGGCTCCTTAGTCGTGCCGCTTTGGCATTGGCAGGCAGCCCAAAGGTCACCTATCCATGCCAACTGGGGAGGAGGCTCAGATTTGTGCCTGGACTTGCCGGAGATTACATTGCCTTGGTGAGAGATGGGGGTCATGATGAAGAAACCCTGGGGCTGGAAGTGGAGGAGTGCCAGGCTCGGCCCCGTTGCTTTGCCAAGATGGGAGAGGGGAAAGGTGTGGAGAGGGTGGCCTTGGCAGACGGGGGGGTGGGGGAAGGGCAGTTACCAGAGCGGTGATCGCCTAAAGGTGGCTTCCACCCAGCCCAAACAGCCGTGGAGGGAAAGACGGGCCCCGGCCCCAATCCTCAAGAAGGTGGCAGAGGGGAAGCACGCACAGGTTGCAAGGCACGGCCATCCGCCCTGGTGGAGGGACCAGGCTAAGGGACCCAGGAGCTCTGCAGGGACCAAAGCTGCTTTTGTGGGGACAGCCGTAGCCATGGGGGGTTGCATTCCGCAGTCGCCTGGCAGCCCCAAGGCATTGGGGGCCTCCTCCCTGCCTGAGGCCAGGAGCCAGTCTGCGCGCTAAGAGGAGGAAGGGGCCAAGACTGGCCAGAGAAGCCACTGGGATGGCAGGCAATGGGGCGCTCACCTCGGACGCAGCAGGCCCGTGCTCCGATGGGCGTGTGCTCCTCGTGCGTGTGTGTGCACCGGCATTTTGCTCGCCAGGATGCCACATCAAAGCCAGTTCTTCGCCGGAGCCAGAATTCGCCCACCTCCTCAGGGCATGAAGGAACGAACAGGAACCCCTGGCATCGGCAGCCGGCCACAGTGCAGGGCACCGTGGCTCGTTTCTCTGGAACACAGGACTGGCCATCAAAAGGGGGAAACCAGGAGGAAGGATGGCAGGTCACCCGGCAGAGCAAGCAGGGAGTCTCTGGGCCCCGAAAGCCTCCTCGGGGGGGGGAGAACTGGGCAGGGAGACCCTCCCCAAGCAGGAAGGGAAAGGACCCTCACGTTCTCGCATTCGGCTTCATTTTAGACAAGAGAAGGCCTGGTACTTGCCCCTTGGACCAGAGGAGAACGGTGGCCTGTGAAGTCCTCTTCAAAGGCCCCCTGTACTGAAGAGGGGGGGTCCATGGAAGCCACAGTGGGAGGCCTCTTTGGAAAAGCCCAGGGCCTTTGGATCAGGCACTAGGGAAGTTATAGGGGTACGTGAGTTAACCAAAGGGGGTGCCCTCCGGGGGCCGCCTCTCAAGCGCGCATCCTTCAGGCGGATCGAGGGGAGTCCGGAAAGCAGGTCAGGGCCACCATGTTCTGCCGGGGAGCAGAGAAGCTCAGTTCTGAAGACCCAGAGACTCCCGGACCCCGGACTCCCTGGAGTAGAACCGGCCACGGTGACCCCCAAAGGGAGGTAAATGGCCCCGCTCGGCCGCTTAAGAGGCTGCTCTGCCTTCTGCCCGTTTGGGAAAGAGGGTGCAGGCTGCCTGAGGCCGGCTCTGCTGTCCCAGCATTCGGCCCCGCGGCACAGGGTGGCCTCGCTTTCCACCCTCCCTTGGAGGGAGGAGGAGTCCCTTCCACCCGAGAAGAGGCCGGGATTTGAGGTGGACATTTAGCTACAGGTGGTCCTCGATCGTTAAGTGAGTCCACAGTCATTAAACAAATGCCGTGGTCTTTAAGCAAACCCATTATTCACTATGGGGCACTTTTGCCAAAAACGTTGTAAATTGCAGCCACGTGGCTGGAGGATGCTGCAAATGGCAGTAATCCACGCCAGCCACCGAGTGGCCAGAATGTGGCCACGTGGCCGTGGGAAGCCCTTGGGACCAGGTTGTGGGGGCCTTTGGGGGCTCCATCATAGCTTTGAATGGTTGCTAAGAAACCGGTCATAAGTCCTGCGCTTATTTAAAGACTTATCTTGTGCCACACAACTCTGGGCACCTGACAGCAGCGATGACAACACAAACAATAAACATAATGCAATAAGCAAGTAAGAACCAGACCCCGCCCACTCCATCAAGGACCCTCTGGGCAGCAACCCTCCCAGCACTTGGTACCCTTTGGGAAGGCCGAGAGGGGACAGGGGCAGCTGTAGTCAAGGGTGGCTTCCCGGGTCACGCAAAAAGGCCCACGGGCTGGAGCCTGCCCGCTGCACCTGGGCTAGAGGAGTGGAATGGCAGCCATCCTTCGGGAGGGGCCAATGAGTAGAAAAGGCCCCTCTGGTTGTACCCAGAAGGAAGCCGGAAGCTACCGTGTAACGTGACCAAGCTGGAAGCTGGGAGTGTGTCTTCCCGCTGATCTTCAAAGACGACCTCATGCCCAGCGTGTTGCAGGAGTCCCACCAGGAGGCGACCAAGGCACGAGTGGCTGTCAGCAATGGGCCCCAGCCCAGGAATGGGCACCGCCTGCCGTGAAAGGCCTCCCCAGCCATGTCTGCCACCTGCTCCTGCAGTGGAAGCCATGAGTCCCGGAGGACCCCCGCATTGTGTGCACCGTCTGGGCCGTCTGGGGTTGCAGGCAAACAGCCCTGCGGACTTCAGCAAGGGAGGAAGGCCAGCCGTGCACTGGCAAAGCCCATCAGCTGCAGCCTCCCAGCGAGGCATGTGCCAGAAGCACCCTGGAGAATGGCCAGCTGCGTCTCCCAGGAGCTGCGGGGCGCAGAGTGGAAGCGCCCCGGAGAGCCAGTCTGCGGGCTTCAGCGGGTCCTGAGCTGCTGACCCTCTCAAGGCTGTGCAGGAGGAAGGCAGGGCTGGAAGCAAGCAAGGACCCCGTGAGGAGATTCCCCAGCCCTGGACTCTCCTCCGGTCCTCACTGAAAACCCCCAGGCCGGTTCTCCAGGAGCCCTTCCGACACATACAGCACCTTTCCTGCTCTTCTGGCTAGGCCCCCCCCAGAACTCCTCCCACACCTCCCCACCTGCACCTCACCTGGCAACATGGAGCGCCCCACCTCTAAGGTCTGAAAGGATTAGCCCATGACATCACCGTTGCCCAGGGGACCCTGAGGGAGCTGCTTTCGTGTCCCCATTACCCTTCCCACCAAGGGGAGGTGCAACCTTTCCACCGGCTTCCGTTTGCATGCTTTCCAACTGCTGGGTTGGCAGGAGCTCATTCCATCAGGCAGAGCTTCGGTCTCGGGGTTTGAACTGCTCAGCTGTCAACCTCTCCCTGGTCTTCAGATTCGGCGTCCTGGCCACGTGAGCCAGCCCGGCTCCTTGTCCTGCTGCCGCCTCCCCACCTGGGCCATGCAAGCTCTCTGTGGCAAACCAGGCCCCGCCACACGGTTGTGCTCACTGTGTGCAGCCCAGCATGGCAGCCTCGCTCAGGTGCCCGGATCCCTGGCCAGCAGGAGGTGGAGGAGGTCAGCTGGCAGCCGCCAAGGAAGGAAGGGGCAGCAGCAGAGCCAGGACAGCCAAAAGGGCGGGGAGGGGGAAAGGAGATGGACGGGGCAGTGAACCAAAGACGAATGTGGCAGAACCGAACCATGAAGTCCTGGCTGTACAATCATGTCCTGGAATTGCCATTGCCAAGCAGTGTGCTTGATAGTCTGTGCAAGTCCAGGACGTCCCCGTTGAGGACGTGAAAAGAGACCCCTAGAGCAAAAACATGGGTCCTGCCCGAGGAAAGCCGTGTTCCCCGGGGGTGGGGGGCAAAAAAGCATGAAACGGCGCAGCCCGATTCCTCCCCACTTTCTGCTTATTTGGTGGCTGAGGCTTCTGCCTTTTAGGCAAACCCAGAAAATCTGTGCCAGCCAAACTCGGCAGCCCAGTTGAGAAAACACCCTGGGAAGCAGGGCTGCCGGGGTAGGCAAAGGGCTCCGGCAAGGAGAGAGGCCTTCTTGGCAGAGGCCACAGCATGTGCCGACTCCCCCTTGCCAAGGAAACTCACCCACGTACACCTGGTGCAGCTTCAGCAGGTGCCCACAGAAGCACTTGGACTCACCCCCCACTCGGAAACAATCCCAGAGATATTCAGGGCAGCGCCAGCCGATGTAGAGGCCTGAGGAGAGGCAGATGGGCAGGCTCAGGAGGTGGCCTTGCAGGGCCTGGGGGCTGTTTAGGGCCCGGTCCCTGCCCCAGGCAGCTCAAGTCCCACCCAGCAGCCTCAAAGCTCCTGCCTCTCTCTAGCGGGTGTGTGTGTGGATGGATGGACGGACAGAGGGGAGACCTCCCGGATGCCAGTCTGGGAAACGGCTTGGGCTCTGCCCAGGTCTTCCTCCTCCTCCTCCTCCTCCTCCTCCTCCTCACCAGCAGAAAGCAGAGCCTGGCGGTTGCTGCTCAGAAAGCAGCTCCCGGTTGCAATGCCCTCCTGCCCAGAATTGGGTGACTACGGTCCCTGCTGAGGCTCCCACCCACCTGTCTGGAGGGACCTGAGGGCCGCCTCCTTCTCCAAGTGGAAGAGCTCCTTGGCGTTCTGGGCGAATTTCTCCCGGTGCATGGCCTTGGCCACCGACACCAGCTCTCCCTTCTCGGCTGGCACGATGGTCCTCACCCTGTAGCCTGTGGGGAGAGCAGCCCGCCTCAGAAGCGGCCCCATCTGGGCTGCCAGTTGCTTGGTGTCAGCTGCCTTCCTTGTTGGGTTCCAGGAGGGGCCTTCGCCCCCTTTGCTGCCCTCCAGCCCCCCCCCCCTTCTCTCTGCCTGCCTGCTACTTCGACTGGGGGGAGGGGGGCTGTGGAAACCGGCAGCCCCGCTTCCTTCCCCGTCACCGAAGGTTCCTGCTGGTGGGGTAGGGGTGACACTTTCTCCTCCGCTGGGCGGGAACCCTGGACGGAGCCCACCCGCTTCGCTGCTGGCTCCCCGCCCTTCCAAGGCCCCAGCGCAGCCCGGCGGCCGAAGGGAAGCAGCACCTGGGCGAAGAGCCGCGGCCCCAGCGCTCCCGCCCACCCGCCGCCCCCTGCCCTGGGCCCGCTCGCTGCCCCGGCAGGCTCCCACTGACTTGGCGCGCCCTTCTTGGCCGGCGGCCCCTTCTTCTTGGCTTTCGTCCGCTCGGCCTGCTCCCCGCGGCCTTCCGCCTCTTCCAGCCGCCGCTGCGGGCCGTCGGAGGGCGCCTTCCAGGAGAGCGGCGACGGCGAGAGCGAGGAGGAGACGAAAGGGGAGCTCTCGAGCGGCGCGGAGGTCGGCTCGCTGGGGCCGGCGCTCGGCGGCTCCGGCCACTCGGACGAAGAGGGCAGGGAGGGCTCCGGGAGGTCGTCCCCCCGCTCCAAGGAGCTCGACCGCGGCAAGACCGTGTCCTCGTCGCTCCCCAGGGAGGTGGAGGCGGGTAGGATCAGCTCTTCCTCCACCTCGCGAGCCGTGGGCGACGTGCTGCTGGGCGCTGCCTCCTCCTCCACCGCCGCCGCCTCCTCCCAGGACGCCGCCGGAGGCAGCGGGGCGGATGCTTCCATGGATCCCGCTTCCATGCTGGCTCTGCTGGAGACAAGCGCGGGAGGCGATCGGGCGGGCCGCGTGGCCTGCACACGGGCGCCGGGAGGGCTGGATGGGAGGCAGCCGGGCAGAGGGCAAGGCGGCTCCCGGGTTTGGCGGGCTCTCCCGCGGGCCGCTCGAGGGAACCCGCTCCCTCTGGCTGCTTTACGTCGAGCAGCTGGTGTGGGGCCCATAGACAGGCTTTCTGCCGCAGGGCTGCGCGTCTTGGGGGGCAAACGCGAGAGCCGCCTCGCCTGGGACGAGCGCCGGCCCGTCGAGCCCCCCAGCCCTCGCGATCTGATCTGCCGGCTCTTTCCCAGCGCCTCGAGGTGCTTTTTGCTGCGGATGCGGTGAAGCGAGCAGGGCGAATTGGGGTCTGGCAGCGGCGCGGAGGGGTCCGGGGGTGCAGGAGTCTCTCTCTCTCTCTCTCTCTTTCACACACGGGCACACACAAGTCCCGCAGCTCCTCTACCTCCGTGGGATTCCCCGTCGGGCAGAAGAGCAGCGGCGGCCTGGAAGCCTGGATTCCCCGGCCACGGGAGGAAATGTTTCCAGGGCAACAGAAGCCTTGGTTTATTGGCATGGCAGCGGCCGGCTGGATTCCGGCGTTATTGCTCCGCTCCTCCCGCCTCACTTCCGCAGCCGGGACCGGCGCTCCCCGGCTGGCCCCTCCCGAAATCAACCCCTCCTGGGCCACAGGGCGCACCCATGGGAACGAGGGAGGCTCGCAAGGACCAGCCCTGCGCCCCCCCCCCCCCCCCCCCCCCCGCAGCAGCCTTGGGGAAAGGGAGCCTGGCCTGGGGAGGGCAGCAGAGCTCGCCCTGAGAAGGTCTAAAGCCACCCCCCCCCCAACGGCTCGGAGCTCGGAGGTGCTGAACTCGGCCTGGGATTCTTGGTTAGATTGGTGGCCTTGCTGGTTGTCCAGGTGTGGCCTGCTTGGATATCCCTGGTTCACACTTGGTGCACACCCAGAGCGGGGGTTCAGTCAGCCGTTCTCCCCCCCTTTGGTGAAGGTGAGGTCCAGGAGAGCAGCTCCTCCTGATCTTCTTCCCACTCAAGGGGGCTGTCAGCAAGGGAGGGCCAGGATAACTGACCACCCTGGCCGTCTCTCTGAAAGCCTCTCTGGTCATCGGAGGCAGAAAGACCCGGCCTTGTCTTCTGCCCACCCCGGGGCTCCATAAGAACCTCTTTTGAAGGGATCCAGTTGTCAGGATTCCAGCAATCGCCCTAATTAAACCATGACTCTCGAGCCAAACTTCAAGAAACTTCATTTGAGGCAACATCCTGGCCCTGCCCTGTCTGAAGCCAACTCTGGCCTACGTCACTCACAGTCCCCTGGGACCCTGTTTCCCCCTCCCTCCCCCCTGGGAGTCTCATCAACCAGATTCCCCCACTGAGCCCCTTCACGAGCTGGGTGTCCTCATTCACGTTCTCCAATTCAATATATTCACAGGCAAAAACTCTGGTATTTTACTTACAACCTTTTAAAGATAAAGAGTTGGCGTGTACTTTCACTTTCAACTGCTCTTCCAGGTGTCCTTCCTCCCCCCTCCCACTTTTTATGGCAACTACTAAAACAGGCCTAGGAATGTTTTATGAGTTGACACCAGTATTGTTCCCCCACTTTTTATTCCTACCTATTTCTAGCTTTGTGCTCTGATTCATGAATTGTGTGTGTGTGTTTGTGTGTATGTTCACAGGGCAACCTCTTTCAACTGTTTCTTTGGCATTAATGGCTGGTTTCACTTGGGATCCATCCACGCCCATGTGATTCTTTCGCCAAATACTACAAAACCCCTTTTGTTTCTACACAAATGTTGGACTTTGCATTTATCCCTGTTGAAATTAATCATCCTGATTTTTGCCCATTATTCTGGCCTTTGAAGATCCTTTGAAATCTTCCTTCTGCCCTGTGAAGTATCAGGTCCAAAACAGATTACAGTGTTTTCTAACTCCTGAACTAACTTCATTATAAATATGTTAAATGGCACAAAGCCTAAAACGGAGCCCTGCAATTCATCACTTCCTTCCAATCAGATCTGGAGCCCTTAATAACACCCCCCCCCCCCCCCCGCTTTTGGGTCTGATTGCTCAACCGGCTCTGTATCCATTTAATGGTAGTGTAGCCCATTAAACGGTCTACAGGTCACCTTCTTCTTTACCAGGATTTCATTGATGTTTGTCAAATGTTTTGCTGAAGTCAGACATATAATGTCCCCGGGCTTGGAGACTTCAACTCACCCGTGGCATCCTGGGTCCCTCCCTCCCTTCCTCTTCCTTGGACTATTGACCCAGCCAAAAAAAAACCCCACCCCTTTTTCCTTTGCTTTTATCTTTTCTTCGAGCAGCATCTGTTCCAGTTGTGCCTCAGCCTTTCACTTCCTGGGGGGGGGGGGGGGGTCTGTCGGAATAGAGAGGATTCTCACCCCCAGGCTGTCCATCATCTTGGTTAACTTTAATCTTTTCATTCTAGTCTCAATTCTTTTTAGCACTTTTTAACTTTTATTACATTGTAAGCCACCCAGAGTTACTGCATGAGTGAGATGGGTGGCATAAACATTTAACAAATAAATAAAATAAACTCTCCATTTCTCGGGTTGTTTTGTGACATGCTAACGTTGAGCTTTTTGCTTTTGGGCCTCTGCCCAGACATTCCTGGCCAAAAGCCACGTTATTTTTCCTTGTGACACTAATGGCCACACTTGCAAAATTCTTCTGCATGGTTGCAAATCCACTTTCCTGTGACTGGACCGTTTGTGGTCAATCTCTTTGGCTTCTTCAAGTAAGTGTGGAAATAGGGGTTAGCTAACTGCTAGTTGTAACTATGACTCTACCAAGCAACGTGCAGATAAAGTAATTAAGATGGACCACCTCTGGGTGAAGCCAATTCATTGCTCATTTGCAAAAACCCATTAATAATTTGTTAATAAATTAATAGGCCAGATCCTCAGTGGATTAGCTGCAGGTTCCCAATAGTCCTCAAGGACCAAAGGCTGTGTAAAGGCCAGAGCAATAGTAGAGCAATAGTAGAGACAAGTAGAAACTCTGGAACCCCAGTACCCACCCTCCTGCCCAGTATCCGCGGGAAGCCTGCAGACTGGCACCCAGGGACCTTCTGAAGGAGCAGGGAGGCTCTGAGGCTGCTCAGGAAAAGAGTTTATTGGGGGAGAGTGGCTGATGGGGAGGAAGGAAGGCTCCCCCCACCAAGGCAGGAAGCGGGCAAGCCTTGCGCTCTTCACCCTCTCACTTGGTGCGGTAGAAAGTGTTCGTGCCAACCCTACAATGAAGCAGGAAGGAGGAAAATTTCAAAATTCATGGTGGCATCATTGCGGTCCCCCCAGACTGAGCATCCTCCCCCCCCACTCCATTCCCTCCTTCCACCCAACGGCTTTCAGAGTGTTGCCAGCTGTGGGCCCACCGGACTGTGATGATGCTACCCAAACCACCCTTCAACAGCTTGTCAGTGAGGATGACCTGAGGAATCTCCTCAAAAGCTTCCGTAGGTTTCTTTGTGGAGGAAGTGGCTGAAACTTCCCGTCTACTGGACTAAAAATGCCTGCCAGTCCCGCAGGAGCTACTCAGCTCTGGGTGCTGAAAAAGCTCTTGAAAGGATGGGAGCCCTTGGGGCATCCTTTCAAGAGCCCCTTGGGGAGGGGAAGGAAAGAGAGGAAAAGAAGGGGCGCCCCGGCGAAACTCCCCAGGGCCCTTCCAGTTAGGGGGCACAACAGTTCGGCCCCTGGTTTCTCTTACCGGGTTGCCCCCCAATCTTTGTTGCTGGACTCCACCTCCTCCCGCAGCAGCCAGGTGGTCTTCAGCTGCTCCTCTCCGTCCCCATCCAGGAAACACTGGCCCGCAAAGACGGTGATGGACTCTGTGGGAGGAATCCGGCCGGAGACTCAGTTGGGGGAGGGGTATATTTCCCACAAAGACCCCGTCACTGATTGGCAGCTCCAGCTAATGGGGGCGGTGGGGGCCGGCATTCAGTGAAGGAATGTGCAGGAGGCCGATCTAAGGAGGGGGAGATCCCCTAGATTCCCTCCCCCCATTCTATTTGATTCCAGTCCAAATAGTGGGTGCCTCTACCGGAGAAGTTCCAGTTGACGGTGAAGCCGAAGGTGGGCTGGGCTCGCCGGTCCACCTGGTGCTGGACGCCCTGCAGAGGGGATGGCCGGATGCGACTGGAGGAGGCCGAGACGGCAGTTAGGTAGACGCCGCTGAACACCCCCGAGTCGCTGACTTTGCCGATCTGCATGGTGGAGGCGAGGTCATTCTTCCAGTTGCCGGTCAGGGCGCACTAAAGGAGCGGGAGGAAAGCAGGTCAGGGCGCCGGGCGAGAGAGTCTGCTTGACTCTCTTTTCTCCGGGGCTCTGAAAACTCCCGCTGCTCCCACGCGCCCGATCCCCCGGGCTGCCCACGCCGGGAGGGCCGGCAGAGGCGGCCCCTCCCGAAGCCCCCTGGCTCGAGGCGCCTGCCACCTGCCCGGCGAGCAGCCGGCCGAAGTCGCGGCAGAGGAGCAACCGCCCGGCCGCCGTCAGGGACCCAGAGGCTCTGGCGCTCGGCGCGACGGGACCGGGCGCGACCCACCGCGAGGGAGCGGCACCCTCTGCGCAGCACCGGCGGCCCACCCCAGCAGAGCCTGGCAGCGGGGGATTTCCACCAGGGAGGCTGGGAGCCTCTGCCCGCCACCCCGCACCTTACCTTCCGCGGGGCGAAGCGCTCCGAGTTTCGGGGTTCGGCAGCGGTGCCGGAGCAGCCGAGCAGGAGAGCGAAGAGCCCCAGAAGTGCTGTGCCCATCGCCATGGTGCTCTCCAGGAACCTCGACTTGCCAGCCCCGGGCGGGACGGCCCCTTATGAAGGGGCCCCGCTCATCCCCGCCCGCCCCCCATTCAGCTGCCACCTCCGCCCACCCCTCGCGAGAGGGAGGGTGGCCCAGGATCCCCGCCCAAGGGGGCCGACGCTTCTATTTTTATTTATTTATTTGATTTGATTTGTCAATTGCTTACAAGATAATAGGTATAAGTATAAAAATAGTTATGAATACATGGATACATATAAGAAAAAATAAAAAAATAAAGAAACAATAGAACAGGGACGGTAGGCACCTTGGTGCGCTTATGCACGCGCCCTACAGACCTCTTAGGAAGGGGGTGAGGTCAATAGTACACAGTCTAAGGTTAAAGTTCTTGGGGTTTGGGGAAGAAACCACAGAGTCATAGGATTCCAGACACTGACCTCTGTGGCTGAAGTCATATTTCCTGCAGTTGAGTTTGGTGCTGTTAACCTTGAGTTTGTATCTATTGTTTGCTCTTGTGTTGTTATGGTTGAAGCTGAAGTATTCATTGACAGGTAGGACATTGCAATATATAATTTTATATACCATACTTAGATCGGACCGAAGGCGGTGTAGTTCTAGGTTGTCTAGGTCTAGAGTTTCAAGTCTGGTGGCATAAGGTATTCTGCAATGAGTAGAGGAGTGGAGTACTCTTCTTGTGAAATATTTCTGGACTTTCTCAACTGTGTTACTATCAGATACATAATGTGGGTTCCAGACTGATGAGCTGTATTCAAGTATTGGTCTAGCAAATGTTTTGTAAGCTCTAGTTAATAGTGTGATATTACCAGAGAAAAAGCTACGTAGGATTAGGTTAACAACTCTTAATGCCTTTTTGGCTATGTAGTTAAAATGGCCTCTAGCACTTAGATCATTTGAGAAGAGTACTCCAAGGTCCTTGACAGAGCTTGGATCATCAACAAGGTCTTAACTAGTCAGCTTGTATTTTATTTTCTGATTTTTTTTGTGTGCCAATATGTAAGACAGAGCATTTATTTGTTGAGATTTGTAGTTGCTCTTTGTTTGACCATTCTGATACAAAGTTGAGGTCTTTTTGAAGGATAGCAGTATTGTCTGTGGTGTTGAATAGCTTTACATCATCAGCAAAGAGAATGCAGTTGCTCTTGATAGGATCACAGAGGTCATTTATGTAGAGTATGAAGAGAGCTGGTCCTAAAACACTGCCTTGGGGGACACCACTGTTGGAGGTACAGAATTTGATAGGATGTTTCCAATTTTGACCATTTGTTGTCTGTTTGACAGGAATGCTTCTATCCAGTTATGCAGGTGTCCAGAGATACCATAAGATTTTAGTTTTAATAGTAGTTATTCGTGTACCACTGAATCAAAGGCGTTACAGAAATCTATGTAGATTGTGTGTATTGTTTTGCCCTGATTGAGTTGTGTAGTCCATATGTTTTTGCAGCATAAGAGCTGCAGATTACAGGATAGTTTTTTTCTGAAACCAAATTGTTTATTAGAGAGTAGGTTGTTTGTCTCCACGTGGAGGATAATGGATTGGTTAATAATTGATTCCATGACTTTACAGGTGACGCAGCATAAGGAGATTGTCTGTAATTTTCAACTAGGCTGGGGTCTCCCTTTTTGAAAATGGGGATGACCGTGGCTTGTGACCATAGGTTTGGCAAGATTTTTCAAAGATTATACTTAGAGGTTTGGCTATGGCAGTGGATAGCTTTTTTAAGAAGTAGGTACATATTCTGTCTGGTCCAATAGATGAAGATGGTTTTAGATTGCGTAGTGCTTATTCAACAAAATCGATATGTATTAGATCATTGTAGTTATCTGTTGTTCGGCTAGGAAATACTGGGCATGATTCATTGCTGTTTACAAATACTGAGCCAAAGAATGTGTTAAAGAGGTTGGCTTTGATGGTGTCATCGTTACAGTCTTTACCATTACGTTTTATCAGGGGTGGGATGGACCTTGTGTCTTTTATTTTGTTGTTTACAAAATTGTAGAAACCATGGGTGGAATTGGTGCATAGAAGGTTTTCCTCTTGTTTAATGTGATAATTGGTGCATTCAGTCTTTATCTGGTGGCATACATTTTTGTATCGGCTTTTGAAGTTGGCAATGTGACCAGATTTGTTTTTCCGCCAAAGTGATTTCTTTTTGGATTGAAGCTTCGTTATTGTTATGGGTAATTGTTTTTTTCTGGTTTTGGGAGTTGTTATTGGTACATATAGTTTGATGACTCTTTTGACTTCAAGTAAAAATATGTTGTAATAGTCTTCTACAGTATTGCATCCAGTGAATAGAAATTGCCAATCAAGGGATGAGAGATTGTTGTTTATAAGATCATAGTTGCCTTCTTTGAAGTTATAATTGGGGATTCCTTTTACTGGAATTTTACTGGAATTAAATTAAAAGACACCAGCCTACATTCCTCAACAAAAGGAAATCACCTGATCATAGTTTGCCCCAAGCATTATTTCAAATCAGTGGCCCATTGTCCCCTTGGTGCTACAAACTCATCCTCGGTGCCCCCACCCAGGGGTGGGATTCAAATTTCTATGGGCGTCACCTAATTTGAGGGTGCGGCTTGCTGGTCAAGTGACTGGGAGGGGGTGGCTTGCTGGTCATGTGACTGGGTGGGCGTGGGCATGGCCAGGTGACTGGCAAAACAAATACAAGTGGTCCTCACTTAATGGCCAGTTGTTTAGCAAATGTTCTAATTTATGACTGGCCTCCCCAGAGCTACTTGACCTGTTTTTGGAGTTTTGACAGCTTTAGATCAGGGGTCTAAATCCCACTCCTGCCTATGTGTGTGTGTGAGAGAGGGAGAGAGAGAGGTTGGATCAGATCTCCCCCCCCCTCTCTCTCTCCCCCTCTCTCCCTCTCTCTCTCTCCCCCTCTCTCTGTCCCACAAATGCCAGAAAGCCACCATCAGTCAAAATTCATATTAGTGGTCTCCGGGATTTAAAATTATAAGTTTGGTGGTCCCTGAGGTCCAAAAGTTTGGCACCCCCTGATCTAAAGGGGTGAGCCTGAAAGAGGGAAAGAGAGAGAGAAAAGAAAGAGAAAAGGGAAAGAAAGAAAAAGGGACAAAGAAGGGGGGATGGAAGGAAGGGACAGAAAGAAAAAGAAATAAAGGAGGAGGGAGAGAGGGAGGAGAAAGAAAACGAGATATCTATTCTGGTCCAATCACATGCTCCAGCAGGGTTAGAAGGGTGTGTGTGTGTGTGTGTGTGTGTGTGTGTGTGTGTGTTCTCCTTGTAATTTACCAGTACATTTTGGTTTTGCCTTCTTCAGAATTGGCCCTGTAATACATTGGGGAAAAGTAATTTTTAGGGTGGAGATCTGGTCCAATGGATCCTGTTTAAAGCCTCAACAAAATGTGAGAGCTTCCTGAAAGCCTTGACCATGTTTCGTCCACAAAACCTTTAATAAGAAGCCAAAGAGGTTTCAATGTGGAAAAGGGCCTCAGTCTAAACTAGGCCTCACTCAATCCGATCCATCAGGTTTCTCTCTCTCTCTCTTCCTCCCTCCTTCCCTCCCTCTCAGACTGGCGTTGTTCTACTTTCCCGATGTGCCTGCGGGGCCGGCACTTCAAACATGGATGGATGGATGGATGGATAGATAGAGAGAGAGAAAGAGACAGGCAGGTAGGCAGGCAGGCAGGCAAACAGACAGACCTTTTGGATGGATGGATGGATGGATGGACAGACAGGCAGACAGACAGAATGTGACAGCGGCGGCACTTTGGGAAAGCGGTGGCGGCGGCTTTTCCCAACGTGCTGCCGCATTGGAGGCGCCAGCTCTGGAGTGGTGCTAGTCAATGGGTGAAACTGCAGGGCCGGCCAGCACCTGGAATGCCCCCCTGCTGCCCTTTAGCACCCCTCTGCCAGCCCCCTTGGGGATGCTAAGAGCTGGCTGGGGGCGGCGCGTCGAATGCGGCTGCGGTAGCACATAATGTACCACTGCTTCCGCATTGGAGGCGCTGGCTCTGGAGTGTTAGTACAGTCAATGGGTGAACCTGCAGGGCCAGCCGGCGCCTTGAATGCCCCCCTGCCGCCTCTTAGCATCCCCAAGGGGGCCAGCAGAGGCGCTAAGAGGCGGCAGGGGGGCGGTGCATCGAACATGGCCGTGGCGGCACGTAACGTGCCACCGCTTCCCCATTGGAGGTGCTGGCTCCGGAGCGGTGCTACACTCAATGTGTAAACCTGCAGGGCCAGTGCCTCAAACAACCCCCTGCCGCATCTTAGTGCCCCCTTGCCGGCCCCCTTGCCTCTTAGCACCGCCTCTAAGGCATCCCACCGCCCCCCAGGGAGAGGTACTGCCCACTTTGGGAACCACTAGTTTAAATCATAGCATCCTTTGATGACTATTCTTCATAGCATAACTGCCTGCAATTCAGCTACCAGATTGCAGCACCACCTAATGATCAAGTAATGAATTTTCACAGGAATTTCCTAAATTCAGCTATCCGCTTGCAGCTCCACCTTGTGGTCAATTAGTGAATGTCTCAGGAGTTTCCTAAATTCATCTACCCGCTTGCAAAGCACCCTTTGTGGTCAAGTAGTGAATTTCACAGGAGTTTCCTAAATTCATCTACCCGCTTGCAACATACCCAAAGAGACCAACCTGCGTACTGCACCAGCGTCTACTAGACCTTGCAATGAAGCCTCTAGTGGTCAACCAGTGGATTTCAACGGAGTCTCCTAAATTCTACAACCCTTGCAATGTAGCCCAAGGGTCAAGTAGTTGTAGTAGCTACTGAGATCCTGTGGATGGTGCTAGATGCTAGCAGCAAACTGCAGTGCCTAAGAACCTATATAGGGCCTCTTGGCTACTTGCACAATCTCATTCCCTATCTTGGTGAAGGTGGAAAGTCCCGGACTTTCCAGACATATAGGTGATCTCATTTACTAACATCACCACTAGTATTAAGGATTGGTTGGGAGGTTGTACCAATGTGGATGGGAGGTTTCACCCATGTGGTATCTATTCTCCAATCCAAATACTGTATCTATGCTACTCTTCCTTGCTTGTAAA